TATCGTAGTTAGCACAATGATTAAGTTGAAAATGGGAGGTGATCCCATTAACTTAATCTTGGGGCAATTGGGCCCCTGAAAAACCCAAATTGGGCCGAATGGATCAACCCATTCGGACCCTGATTTCTGCCAGGCGGTGGCACCGCCTGGGCTCAGTCTCCGAGCGAGACTGGGCGGTGCAACCGCCCCTGACAAGAGGTGGCACCGCCTGAGCTCGGTCTCCGAGCTCTAGCTGAGCGGTGCAACCGCCTTAGTCAGGCGATGGCACCGCTTGAGCTCGATCTTCGAGCTCTGGCAGGAGGTGCAACCGCCCCTGACAGGAGGTGGCATCGCCCAGAGGCTTAGTCTTCGAGCTCTGCCAGGCGGTGCAACTGCCTCAGTCAGGCGGTGCAATCGCCAGATCCCGAAATTCCAGGAATTGATAATTTTGAGCTCGAAATTCAAACTGGGTTGGGGCCTATAAATACCCTACCCTTTCAACACTGAAAGGGCACCAAAAATACACCGAAATCCTAATCTTATTCTGTGATTTTTATAGCTCAAAATTATTGTAAAGGCCAAAAGTTCTTCTCCCTCTTTTCTTCCAAGTTCTGATCTTTAAAGAGAGGAGAGAAAATTCTGTAAGGGTTGTCTCCTAAGCCCGTCAAAAGGAGTGAAACTGTAAAAGGGTGGTTGGCCTTCGCCTATTAAAGGAAGGCCTCTAGTTGACGTCGGTGACCTCGTCGGTGGAGGAAGCCAAAAGTGGATGTAGGTCAAGATTGACCGAACCACTCTAAATCTCGATTTGCATTTACTTTGAGTATCTTATCCTTACTGCAAACCTCCTCAATAGCTTACTGCCTTCTGCACATTTACGATCGTGTTTCAAAGTTCAGTATTTTTCGAATCGGCGTTTAGACGTAAATCAGTTTTATCATACGAACATCATATTTCAGTTTGCGCTTACATTTTAACTTTCATCATAACTGCAAACTGCCTTCATAGATTTTCTTTAACTACATCTCGCTTGATTACAAGTTAAAGAGATTTACGAATCAGCTTTTCTACCGAAATCGCTTTTATCGTATGAACACTTTTTTAATCGTCGAAAGTTTTCCGCTGCACTAATTCACCCCCCCCTCTTAGTGCTCTTGATCCTAACATGAGGGTCCCTTTAAGATATCGCAGAATTCATTTGACTGCGGACCAATGCATAGTAGATGGTTGATGTATGAATTATGATAATTTATTGACCACAAATGAGATGTCTGGATGGGTGAGAGTTAGGCATGATATCTAGTTTTAGTTGTAGACCGTGCGATTGTCTTAAAACTCCAACTGATTGGATTAACTCTAAGAAAGAAAATATATCTTGACATTGATATTCTCTTATCAAAGCTTCATACACAATCAGCAGTGGCAAAAGCATTGAGATGAAGTGGAGAGTGTTTGTAGAGAAAGAGACCACGATTGAGGGTTCCTTTAAGATATCGTAGGATTCATCTGATTGTAGACCAATATATAGTAGATGGTCGATGCATGAATTACAATAATTTGTTGACTGCAAATGAGATGTATGGATGAGTAAGAGTTAGGTACTGTAAGGAGCCAACTATTTATCGGTATTGAGTGGGTTCCATAGCAAGACTTCCATCACATAATTTGAGTGTTTCACTAGTAGAGAGGAGAGTTATAATCGCTTTTGTATTATAGTCTTTGATAATAAATCTTGAATGTAATAGAAAGAGACGTATATATGTATATATTGCTTCCACTCTTAGAAAATATTAAGGTTCCTAGATCTTTGAGGGAGAATCGATCTGCCAATTGCTTGATGAATGCCTAGATTTTTATAGGATCATGACTCGTGACAATAATATCATCCATATACACTAGAAGATATATTATGTCTCTATTTTGTTGTCATATAAATAACGAGATATCAAACTTAGAGTTGATAAAGCTAGTTGAAGTTAAAAATAAGCCAAAGTTCGGTGTACCAAGCTCGTGGAGCTTGATAAAATCTATAAATAGTTTTTTTATAATTTATAAATATGTCTTGGATATTGAGGATGGTTGAAACCAGGAGGTTGTTGCATAAAGATGTCTTTAGTTAGAGTCTCTTATGAAAAGGTATTATTAATATCCAATTATCGTAAGTGTCAACCTTTAGTGATGGCCAAACTTAGGATAAGTCTGATTGTTGTGGGTTTAATAACGGGACTGAATGTCTTAGTGAAGTTAACACTAGATCATTGATGAAACTTTTTGGCGACTAGGCGTGCTTTATATCTGACAATGGATACAATTAGGTTTCGCTTAATTCGAAAGACCCACTTACACTTGATAATATTTTGTGTATGATGAAAAGGTACGAGCGTCCATGTTGCATTATGGAGGAGGGCATTATATTCTTCACATATAGCTTTACGCTAGTGTGGAGATTTTTGGGCTTGAGTGAATGTGGTCAGTTCAATGGTCTCAAGTGAGTAGTTTGTGATAGCATATAGGTCAAGGACTTGACATAGCTTGAAAATGTCACTCTTGGAGCGTGTTGTCATCGAATATCCAAAGGTTATAGAATTGTGAGGTTGTGTTGTTAGTATAGGTGGTGGAGAGTCACTAACATGAGCTAGGTTAGGCTGAGATATTTCAGTGTCACTAGGTCTAAAAGGAGGTAAAGACAATAGTTATGTTGCTGAATGTATTGCCTCATCAATGGGGAAAACTTAAGAAGAAGGGAGTGGAGAAGTAATGGAGGGAATGAGCAGTTACTGAACAAGAGTAGTAGTAGAGTGTGGATCCTGATGGGAAGGACTGGATGGTGTCATGGGAGGCTCCTCTGATGGAGGTATATATCAGTAATGAATGTTTGTTGGAGTGGCTTATATGGTAGGAGACTCATAGTTTTGAAATGGAAAGATAGACTTCACAAAAATTACGTGACACGATATAAAATTTTTTTTGAGTTTAGGGTTCATTGTATCCAAAAGTATTATGTTCAAGGGAATATTCTATGAAAGCGCAAGGCTATGTTATCTTATGGGAGATATACAGACATAACTATGGATAACATAGATAACCAAATACTTTAAGTTTCTAAAGATTTGGAGGTTTATATAGGCAATATAGGCAATGATCTATTCTCCTTCTAAGAAGAAGCTATATGCAGTGTGGTAGAGATCAGAGAGCTGCAACGGTTCTCTACCGAATGATTTCTACTGAGAAAGAGCAAAGCGAAACAAGGGTTATGACCGCTTGGCGAGGATGATCTCTTGGAAAGCAGTAGTGTGATAGTGATCGACGACAATGAGTAAAAGAAAAGAGAGAGAGGTCTATGACCAGTGGATCGTAGCCGTCGGAGGAGAAGGTGCAGATTTGCTAGAGAAACGGCTTTTCGTCAGTGAAGAAGAGGTGCAGTCGCTTGTACAGATCAGACGATGATGAGGAGAAGAGAGTATCATCTGTGACACTCGCACTTGGACTCTCGATAAGGAATATAGTGTTGGCCATTGGAGCAATAGAGGAGGTCGGTTAGAAGCCTTCGGAGCTCCGACCGAAGTGGTGGTGTCGTTGCTCGAGGACTTTGGAGGTGTCGCGGGAACGACGGTAGATTGCGTCCGTGGGGAGCACCGGCAACAAAGTGCTTAGCTTCTTATCGGTGAGGCGATAAGTATTGTTCCAAGGCAAATGTTTGGATACCATGATAAATTAAAGTGCGATATAAAATATGATAAGAAGTTTATTAACATGTTTCTTATTTATACAAGTGAGGAGGAAAGATTTTTCTCAACAAAACAATGAGATTTTCTTATATCTTATCTGCTATCAGTTATCTGCTTTTGTTTTGGCGGCAAATAAGGATCGAGTTCGGCTTCTCTCAATTGCATGCTACTATAGTAGCATTGAGAGTGATTAAATGGACAAATGAATTTGATCAAGTACATTATTTAGAGTACCATGGACAGATCTCCATCTAGCGAATACATTAATTAATTATAATATCATCCACTAAATTTGTCTATCCTGTTTTTATCATATTATAATAATATTCATAATGTTTAATTCGATCTGATATCTATGTTTCTTAGTATTACTCCGGACCTGGAGCATTCTACTCTCACAGTGGATTCTCTTAGCATCCAAACAAGCGATACATATTGTGACTATTTTGCCTGGATACTAAAAATTGAGGGATCTTTTCCTGGAGCACTGGGAATAGAAAGCAACGAACAACTGTATATCTATCGTAAAGAATACAGTGCAGTATAGATTCGAAGACGGTCACAGCGACAAGCTTTCTGCGGTTTTAGTCCTTGTCAGCCTGCCGGGATGGATATCTATCCACTTCATCAACAATCCAAATAGTAATAATAGAACTGATATAATTTGATTTCTATTTATGCATAATCATATCTCTTTTTTCAACGTTGTACTCTTATGTCAGCACATCTTTCTATTTGATTCTCTGTCACATGGCGAAACAAACTTTTAAACCAGCTCAATCGTTCACCAAGTCAACTCAGTATGTCATGTTGCTTAAATTTCTAGTTGCCTTCTCCATCGAAAAATGCTCCATCAGTAGTCTACGAATTTGATAGTCAACGCGGGTCCCATCTATCTAACTGGACTCCGTAATCTATTATCTCAAAAGTCAACATCTCCAACATTAACAACCACACCATTCTCCTCGTTGACTTGACCGCCTCCATCAGAGCAAGTCTTCTCTTCCTCTCCCTCTCTCTTTCTCTGTCTCTCTCTTTCTCCTTCTTAGAGGCCAAAAGAACTCTTGCTTGTTTCAGAGAAAGCCAGGAGGAAGCATGGGAAGATTGGGCTATGAACCACGGATCAACCATTTCAGCCACCCCCACCCCTTGGAGCTCGCATCTCTGCAACAGTCGCTCACCCCGCCGACGTGCGCCGGCTGTACCTTTCGTGCCTCCGGCTGGGCTTACTCGTGCAAGGCCTGCAACTACACCCTCCACATCTCCTGCGCCGAGATGCCGCAGCGCATCCGCCACCCGGCGCACCCCCAACACAGTCTCACCCTCCTCACCGTCCCCGCCTACAAAGAGGGCTCCTTCAACTGTGACGCGTGCGGCCACGACGGCGCCGGCTTCTCGTACCACTGCGAACCATGCGGCGTCGACCTGCACAGCTTGTGCGCCTCCATGCCGCTCTCCGTCAGCCATGGCGCCCACGAGCACCCCCTCAGCCTCGTCTTCTCCGTTCCTTACGAGAATAATGGGTTCTCGTGTGACCTGTGCGGGGGGATGGGCTCGAACCACTGGCTCTACCGTTGCGCCATGTGCGAGTTTGATGCCCACATTGGGTGTGCGACGGCGAATATGTTGCAGGCTGAGCCAAGCCCGCCGCCAACGCTGCCGCGGCGACACACGGTGCCACGACCGCGAACACTGCAGCAGCAGACCCCGTACTCGGTGGGAGTGGGCATGGGCATGGGGGTGAGCAACGGAGTTTGGCAAGGTGGTGTTCCGGTGGGCTACCCGCGGATGCCGGGAATGAACCATGCAGGGAGAGGAAGGGGTAGCGGTGGTCTGATAACCCAGGTGGTCCGAGGGTTCGTCACCAGCGCGGCGCAGCAGATAGGGCAGAGCTTGATGCAAAATATATTCGAGGGCGGAGGCGGCGATGGAGGTTCGGCAATGGACGTAGGATCTGGAGTCGATGGCTCGGATGAGTAACCCGAAGAAGCTGTTTATGCTCAATCAATCCTTTCCAATTGTTACAGAAACGTGAGACTTCTTTCGCACCTCATTTTCTTCTCCACTTTGAGCTCTCTTTCGTGGTCTCCTCTCGATCCTGGATTTACCTGTAAAAAAAGTTCTATCATGAAATGTTGTTCTCGATTTGGGTCAACGATCCCAACATTGCAAGTGTGAAAAAGTTGTATAGTGTCCTGCAGATCAAGATCTTGAGCTTTCAAGACAGTTCATGTTCATGCACTAAACATAAACTATACTTTAGACCATAGTTTGCAGTATCGGTCTGTACCGCCCGATAGGCTTTCGGTACGTACCGATCCGATAGGCTTCCGGTACGCAGATCGCCTGTTACCGGTCCGGTACTACAGTGCTCGACACGCCTGAATATACCGCTCAATACACTTGGGTGTACCGAGCGGTATACCGTACCGTACCGGTACTGAGCCCAAGTCGAAACTCCGGTACGGTACGATATTGCGAAACTTGCTTTAGACATTATACATTGAAAAGTAAAACTTTATTTTATAATACAATATATCAAAGGATTATACAACAACAATATTATTCTGAAATGCCTCTTTGACTATAAAATGAACTCAAGAATATTTATTGATCATCCAAAGATAAAGATTCCAAACCTCTCGATGAATTTGATGATGCAGAAACAAATCAAGTAAGATGATAAAAAATATTCATGAAAAAGAAGGATTATGAATAATATGAAAATATTAATGAGAAAGGATGAAAAGGATGGACAAAATATGATGAAAAAGGATAGGATTATTACACGCTCTTCAGAAATGAGAGATTACTATTCATAACCTCCTCTTTTTTTATTTATAATCTCACTTTAAAAATATTTAATATTTCTAGACTATGACTTTGTAAATAATTGTACATAACCATTTCTTCTTTCTTTTTTCATTTTTTTCCCTCTTTCTTCTTTTTTTTTTCTCCTCAAAATATGACATGAATGGACAAACGATGTTGGTGATGACAACAAGAGATGTCGACAACCAGTGAAGAGGTCATCGACGAGGAGCGAGATGAAATAAGAGGTTATAAAAAATAAAAAAAAAATAATATTATTATGATTGCAAATGATAAAATAATACTTTATTAATTTATAAAAATATTATTCATAGCAAAAGACTTATGAATAGTAAAAAGGAACTATGAATAGTAAAGTTATTTGGAATACATCTTTTGAGAAAAAAACAAAATATCATAAAAAATAAATAAAAGAGTAATAATGATAAAAAAAACGATTGTGATATGGATAGAAAACAATCCAATTAACAATGTTCAATAAAAACAGCAAAAGTGTACACCTGAACTTCTAATAACAAAATGCCGACTAATAACAAAAAAACATGAGTCTCTACATATACATCAACATAATTGCACAAATAACTTCATTAAAAATTTAGAAGGAAGAAAACAAGTCCTGCTTGACAAATCAGGAGTTAAACCAGAAAACAAGTTTGCAGTGACAGACAAACAAAAGAGCCGAGAGAATGTTGCATGCTGGATTCAGGTACAAACTATATGATGCCAGGACGTAGCAAATCACGATCGGTACCGCTCCGGAGTTTGTCTTGAAGCCTGGCGCACGTCTGACCTTGGTTTTGCAACTTCTACAAAAATGACTCTCCCATCCAGGAACTAATAGAATTAAAAAGACAATCAACTCACTGTAAGAATTAACTCAAGTTCAGGCCAGTTTAATTGCAACTCTGCTAGTTATTTTCAACTTGCCCATGCATAAAAAGTATTTTTGGAGAAGAAAGAGATGAGCAAATCGGTTTATACCCCCATAGTTTCATGGATTAATGGACTACCATACACCTGAGTGCCTTGGTAATAGCAACTTTTTTGCTAAAAATTCTGGGTATGGACAGGCTCATTCCATACAAATTATTACATTAAGTAACTTGGTTTGTGGTAAATGACAAATCCCTCCATGTGGACTGACATGCTATGAACCATATTGACATCCAAGCTGAGTTACTTCTAATCGTGAATAAGACATCTTACAATATGAGTAGAAATATACTAAGACAACAATTGGGATTCATCTTGCATCAGAACCAGAGAAAAAGTTGAGTTAAATGTAGTGCCATGACAAGGAACTTAGTTATTTCAGGATTCCAACCGGGGGGCTAAACTGGAATAACTTCTCACCACACTGAAGACGAAGGTTATTAAATGAAGGCGCAAAGAAGTGATATAAAGAAAGGCAAAAAAAAGGGCATGTTATGATGATTAATTAGATACAAGATGACTGTGGATATGTCATGAATGTGCAGATGAAGAAGAAGAAGGTATTGCCAAAAGATAAAACTGTAAAATGACACGTAGGAAATAAGATAAAAAAGAAAATACAAATGGCATAAGAAAATATCTAAATAAGTTCATAAAACACTAAAATCCATCAAGATAATTAATTCTGTCAAGGTAAAAATGCCTGAAATGCATGAGGAACTCAAACCCAGTGAACATGGGAAATACTGAGGATAGAATGAAACAGGTGGCAGAATAGTAAAAGATAATTTAGCCATCTTTTATCCAAAACTAACGAGGAGTACCTGATGTCGTTAACTTCTTTAACAGATACTTAAAGGAGTTAAGAGTGCTAAAGATGAATTATACGATATTTAGGTCTTCTGCACTTCTAGAACATATGTAGACCTAAGTTTTACATAGCCTCTCATATTTTGATCCAAAAAATTGCCCCTACCCTGAGTGGCCATCTATTTTAATGTAAAACGTATTGACGACTTCCTAATAATACACGATTTGTTGCTTCAAGAAACAACAAGACCATGTTAAAGCAACCACTAGTGTTGCAAGGCTAGGTAAAGAAAATTTTACCCAATACAGGATCCAGAATCTCCAGCATTTCATGAACGTTTGTTTGAATGCAACAGCAAGACATGTCAATATCTTAGTGCTACTGCATTATGCATATTTGCAGTATTTGCTAGCACACATCATAATATTTCACTGATTAGATGTCACAAGGATATTTAACTAATGCCTAATGTGGCTAAAGATAAGGACAACTTGTCTTTCAACAGAAAGTTGTAACTTATTGTTTAAATTACATAATCTTACTGTACTCATTATGCTACTGATATATGAAGGTACTAAAATAGTAATAATATAACTTATTGACACTTAACATGTTAGATTTATCATTCTCTACTATAAAGTCAACCCCTAGACTTTAAACAATCCAAAAAAAGAAATCTAATATGGCTTGGCAAAGTTACCTTTCCATGCATCCCCTCAATGGCCTTTTTGGATTCCTCTTCGGTGGCATAACGAAGAAAAGCAAAGCCTCTTGGCCTATTTGCTATTCTGTCCATGACCAGGTTAACTGCAGAATAAACATAAAGAGGTGAACAAAGCCAACAACTAGTATAGATTTACATCACGAGAGACTTCATAACTATCCACGTAAAGAAAATGACTAAATATTCAAAGAAATACATCTCATGAACTAAAAGGTGGCATAGCAATATTACATGCACACAAAACGGTGGCACATTGTTACCTTCTACAAGCTGACCAAAATTTTGGAAAGCATTTCTAAGACTTTCCTCAGTTGTACGAAATGAAAGACCTGTAAGAAGCAGCCCAGGAAAATAAGACTTTGTTGAAAATTATAAAGTAATAAACTTTCTAACTGCATGCAAGCATTTGTGCCACAATATTGTTAAACAATGAGCAAGAGAGGACTGAGCATTAAACAAAAGAGAGAGGGTAATGATATACACAGATATAGATCCAACCAACAGAAGGCCGAACAGCTCCACAAAGAACATGGCTGAATAAAATTCTGCAACGCTATAGGCACTGGATAATACCGTTATCAATTATGACATGTGAAAATTATGCCAACTAGACAAATACTCGGTTGCACACATCTAGAACCAAAAAGGATCGACAAAACTAAGATATGCATAAATCATGCTCCTGGAAGCACAGATTAACAAGCAGATATTGATCCAAACACAACCGAAAGAGTAATGTAAAACCACAGCAAAAGCCTCGAATGAGCAAATTTCAAGCACAGCAAGTTCATAGTTGTAGAGCTACTCGCCTGGATTGAAGCTTATACATCTGGAAGCAATTATATATATTCCAGTTGCAAGTTGTTTTTTTTCTAATAATCAATCACACGCTTAGAGTTACAGCACTGGTTGTGAATAGAGACAATAAATCTAACTAAGGGGTTAAGGTGTAGAGAGAAACAGAGCTCAAAGTGAATGAAGATGGATTAAATAGACTACCTAAGTCATAAGTAATAGGATCGATGTCAAGGTGATGACCCAAACCATAAGTTGCAATCAGTGGATATGCTTGTTCCATTTTTACCTATTTTCCATCGAACATAACTGGATTATTGACCATTTTGCCACTGAAAAACTTAGATTTTTTCTTTTTTCCTTTCTTCCTTAAACGATGGCAGCTAGTCGCCATTCAAATTGACGAGAGAAAAACATACAATTTAGACCGAAAGAATCACGAAAACTACATGGGCGAAGGGAAAAAAGAGAAGGTACCACTAACATAAAGCTTGGTGGAGGGGGTCGGAGGGAGGCAGCAGGACACCGAGAAGCCGCCGCTCCTCCGCCGCGAGGTCGCGGCCGAGGGCCATGGGGAGCGAGAAGACCGAATAGATGGAAATCGGGCGAGGAACCAAGAGGAAGACGACGTGGAGGAGGTGATGTCGGGGGTATGTCTTCTTTCTCGGAGAGATGATGACGGCGGTGGGGAAGCAGCGGGGAGAAGGCCCGTTGCCATATCTCCACCCTACGAGGAAGTGGACGAGTGGATAACCCACCGATCCGAGTTCGAGCTCTTGATTTATTGTGGTAGCCTTATTTATTTAGGTAAATTTTCGCAAAAAAGCCCCGAAAACTTCCCAAAACTTCCATCTAAATTTTTGAAAATGATAAAATAACCTCAAA